TAGAACCAATTTCATTATTAAATGAAAATCTAAAACCTTGTTTATACAAACCATGAAAAGAAATAATGTTCCTTTCCATATCTGACGAGTAGCAACAATTATTCAAATCTAACTCTAGCCCACTACTAAGAAATAAAGAATAAACTCCAATCTTGGTGACAGGCGACACTTTCCTATTCCCCATGATCAGGTTCATCTTCTCGTGCTCCACATCCCTACTTCTTTTTAGACCCTACAAATCAGAACAAATGTGAAAACCACATCCTGTATCCGGGACCCAAGAATTAGCATGTGATGAGTTATTAGAATGAATAGTATAAATACTTGCGAATGTGGGCTTTATCTTCCCATCCTTGATGTCTTGCAAGTATTTGGGGCAGCTTCGTTTCCAGTGCCCTTTGTCGTGACAGTAGAAGCAATCTGCTTCTTTTGGATTGGAAGAGGAAGCAACAGAACCACCTTTGGACCCACTAGAAGAGGATCCATCACCATACTTTCCCTTGTGATTCTTTGAAGGAGCTTTCCTTTTCTTCCCTTTACCATGTCCAATTGCCAGGACAGGGGCAGCAGTAGTGGTAGGAGTGGGAACAACAAATTTGCCTTTCAAACTACTTTCAGCAGTTCTCAGTAGGCCTTGAAGCTTGCTAAGAGTGACTTCCTCCTTGTTCATATAATAAGTCATACGAAACTGATCATAACAAGAAGGCAAAGAGTATAGGATAATGTAAATAGCAAACTCTTCATCGAAGTTGACATTCAACTCACTACTAGAAAAACAGCCTTTTACGACGCGCAATACGTGTCGTAAAACGCTCAGACGACACGCAAATGCGTGTCAAGGAAGGCCCTGTCATAACGAGAGACGACACGCTTTTGCGCGTCGTCTATTTACGACGCGCATTTACGACGCACAATTACGACACACATTTATGACGCGCGTTTACGACACGCATTGCGTGTCAAGTAAGGCCCTGTCATAAAGGAAGATGACACACATTTGCGTGTCGTAACCTTACGACGCGCCTTTACGACTCACAATGCGTATCATTAAATCTACTATCATAAACGAAGATGACACGCATTTACATGTCATAAATTCCAGCTGCCAGTGACTATACACCTTTATGACGTGCATCTACGTACGCATTTACAACATGAATACACATAATAAAAAAACAAATATATACCAAAACATTCAATTTCATTTAAATGTCAAACACGTTACCTAACATTACATGTCAAACAACACTACATGTCAACACTAATAACACTTAAAAACATGTTTTTTCCTACATTTGGAGCACCCACTATTCCTATATCAGTAACCAACTTTAAGTCCAATTCCAACCACTTGTAAAAGAACAACATTAGAAGTGATTAATGATTCAGTGTAATGGAAATTGATTGAATGATTTAAAAAATTGAAAATGAACCTAGAGAGAACAGGTGTCTGAGCTTTGAAAGCATGGAGATAATATTAATAATAAGTTGGAAATAATATTAATATTTAATACCTCTCTGGGTGATCACCATCAGTCAACCTTCCATCATCCAACATTTGAAGCAAAGTATGTGTAATGCTATGTATAATGCTAGCAAATCCAATATTGAACAAGTTGTATTCATATATTTTATCATAATCACCAAAAACTATGTGTAATGCTAGCAAATCCAAATTAAAAGATAGAGATATTCATACCTGTCCCATAAACTGCCCTCCATACACTTTAGCAGATTTTGGAGCTCCTTTTAAGGTGAGTCCTCTGATTGTGTTCACCTTCACAAATAAAGACTTGATAACTTGAACATAATGCATGGAAAATAACTTTAATATCCACAGGTAAATACTTGATATGCCTCACTTTCTGCATATGGAAGTATGATGATATGCCCATCCATGTCTCAAGGTTCATCAAGTTGAACCTTGAGATGTCACATGAAAATGGCAACATTTCCTTAAGTCCATGATTTTCCTATTTTATGATTCTTAAAGGGTATTTTTGATATTGATTGAAAGTAAACACTTGTATTAAATTACAACATACAAAAAACTACAAATTGAGAATCAGATGAGATGAAATGAAAATAAAACGTACCTGATGAATGTTGAGTTCATTAAGGTGAATCTGGGCATATGCTCTGTCTTTAGCCAAAGCAGTGATATCACTGTCAAGGTCAAATGCCAAAAAAAACATATTTTTAAGTTTTAACAAAAATGCATGTATATTACAGTGAAGTAAGTAGAGTTTTAAATATTTACCTTCTGCAGTATATATCCAGCAATGAGTCATTCTCATCCACTATAGGAGCTGCACTCAGGAAGTAAGTGATAAAATGTATAACTAAGCTTCTGTAGACAAATAACGAATAGTAATAGTAAGCGAATACTCACCAATGTATCTTAAAAATGATGATTCCCATACATTAAAAGTATGTATGTATGTATCTCCCTCCAAACACAATTACCACACACACAATTCCCCTGTATTTTCCTACATAAAAATAAGCCCTCTCTCTCTCTCTCTCTGACTAAGCTACCACTGCTACCACTACCACTACAAGCGCTGCTCTACACCACCAGCCACACATTAAATTTAGATGTGCCCAAAAGCTCTCTCTCTCTCTCTCTCTCTCTTTGTACCCTCCACTCAGCTCACCTCACAATTAGAGAAAAATTTGAGCCATCTACTTTACTAGTTTTTTTGGGGATTTTAAGGATCCTAGGTAGCATGCAGAATCACACCCTGCCACATCACAAGTAGTAACAAAAAGAAAACAAAGGAAGGAATGCTAAGCATTCGCTGT